GTGGCAGTCATCCCAAGACTGAATCTCGTTGTTGCAAGTGACGGATATCCTTCCGTCCCTTTTCGACGATAGAGCGCATTGTGGATGGAAATCTACAATTTTATCCATTTGATCCGTGATAGCTGCTTTGATTTTCCCCATCTGGATTTTCAATAACCGTTCATCAGGATGCAAACCATGAGTGATGGTCACTTCAGTTTGCGCTACTGAATTCGGATAAGAATTGCCCCTTTGACACTGTTGAGAAGTGTCTCCAAAGACCTTTTTATCACCATTGCCTACTGACTTTTTTTTTGAGGGTCCCGCAGCCGGAGTGTTCCTTTCGGTGATGATTGGCCGCAGCGTATGCTTCGCATGCCTTCAGCTTCTCCAGCCGTTCTTTCTAATATTGAGAAATGCTTATTATAATATTGATGCCTCCTATTGAGAGATGTTGTTCCTGATGTAAGCCTCAATCCGTCGTTTGGATGCACCTGAGAAATATTGCTTTTTTGCCCTGATGTCCAGCCAATTCAACGGCTCCTCGTTTTTGAATAATTGGTACTAAAGGATCCTGATTCTCCCTTTCAATCGGGAAGCGGTTTCCTCTGCTGACGTGAGAACGAGAGTGGCATATACTTCGTCCAAAAAGGGCACTACCAAAGTGCACAAAAAAGAGTACTCACAAAAAAATGGTACGGAAAAATGCCTCCCACAACCACAAATGTGCACATTCCAGCACATTCCAAGAGTAGAGACCTCTTTCAAAAATAAGGCCATTTTCATACAAAAAAAAAACAACACTCATGACTTTTCAACAAAATAAGTCCTTAATATTCCAATTCTCTCATTTTTTCCCCTTTCATGTTATTAAATTAGAAAATGGAATAAAAAAATTAATAAGAATAACCCAAATAAAACGAGTAATAAAACATAAGACAAAGTAAGAGAAAAAAAATTGGCATACTGAGATAAAAAAATTGTTATTTTCAAATGTAAAGTAAGTATGTATACAATAAATATTCTTTCCTATTGTAATATTAGTGTAATGTGTATGTATATTTGATGTGTATAAAAACTCGTATAAAATAACCCGTATAATAGAGTGTTATAAAGAGTAAATAGAAAATGGACAAATATAAGAAACAATAAAAAAAAATGAAAATTTCTTTTTTTCTTAATGTTAATTATAAATTACAGATAACAGGCATGAATTGTTGGTAGGTATGAAACTTTTTACCCTCTATAGTATAATTATAACAATAAACATATTTTAAGGGATTAGAAGAAGAAGGAGTTAAGTAACATTTTCAATATTTTGAGAAAAACGCATTTTTATATTCTGATTTTAATACTTTCAAATTTTTGAGAATGTTACGGCAAAATTGGAATCCCTTCTTACACCAATAAAATTTTAAAAAAACAAACTATTGAATAATTAAAAAGCGTTAATTGAATTTTTGTTTCATTTTTAACAGAATTTTTATTTTATTTTTTTGTATTATTCTTTCAACTATTAAAAAAATAAAAAACAAAATTTAATTTAGAAAATAATAACAAAAAAAGTTTGTCATATTTGTTCATAATAAAAGTAACAAACTTATGTAATTTTATTTTAAATTAATTTAAAAAGATAAAAGTAATATAGGTTTTCAAATACTCTATATTCATTTATACTAGGTATTAAAATATTAAATATGTATAATATCAATACATAATATTTGTTAAATTACTAAATAATATCTACCTGGGCATGTGGGTACTGAAATTAATAAACAAAAACAAAAATATGAAATAATTTTCTGTTAATTCGTTAATATCATCAAATATCCCAATAGTATTGTTTCTGAATGAAAGTGAGATCATTTTATTTGAAAAAATTTATATTGTACGAGTATTTTAAGTGATCTTAACGCATTCATTTAATAAGCAAAATATTAAAATGTGTACTTAACTATTTTTTTTATTGTCTAAATACCGTAAAACTTGATATTTCGAAAAACGGTATTTTAGTACTCACATGCCCAGGTAGATATTATTTAGTAATTTAACAAATATTATGTATTGATATTATACATATTTAATATTTTAATACCTAGTATAAATGAATATAGAGTATTTGAAAACCTATATTACTTTTATCTTTTTAAATTAATTTAAAATAAAATTACATAAGTTTGTTACTTTTATTATGAACAAATATGACAAACTTTTTTTGTTATTATTTTCTAAATTAAATTTTGTTTTTTATTTTTTTAATAGTTGAAAGAATAATACAAAAAAATAAAATAAAAATTCTGTTAAAAATGAAACAAAAATTCAATTAACGCTTTTTAATTATTCAATAGTTTGTTTTTTTAAAATTTTATTGGTGTAAGAAGGGATTCCAATTTTGCCGTAACATTCTCAAAAATTTGAAAGTATTAAAATCAGAATATAAAAATGCGTTTTTCTCAAAATATTGAAAATGTTACTTAACTCCTTCTTCTTCTAATCCCTTAAAATATGTTTATTGTTATAATTATAGAGTACTCTAATTATACTATAGAGGGTAAAAAGTTTCATACCTACCAACAATTCATGCCTGTTATCTGTAATTTATAATTAACATTAAGAAAAAAAGAAATTTTCATTTTTTTTTATTGTTTCTTATATTTGTCCATTTTCTATTTACTCTTTATAACACTCTATTATACGGGTTATTTTATACGAGTTTTTATACACATCAAATATACATACACATTACACTAATATTACAATAGGAAAGAATATTTATTGTATACATACTTACTTTACATTTGAAAATAACAATTTTTTTATCTCAGTATGCCAATTTTTTTTCTCTTACTTTGTCTTATGTTTTATTACTCGTTTTATTTGGGTTATTAATTTTTTTATTCCATTTTCTAATTTAATAACATGAAAGGGGAAAAAATGAGAGAATTGGAATATTAAGGACTTATTTTGTTGAAAAGTCATGAGTGTTGTTTTTTTTTGTATGAAAATGGCCTTATTTTTGAAAGAGGTCTCTACTCTTGGAATGTGCTGGAATGTGCACATTTGTGGTTGTGGGAGGCATTTTTCCGTACCATTTTTTTGTGCACTTTGGTAGTGCCCTTTTTGGACGAAGTATATGCCACTCGGACGTATGACTTACAGCTATGTATGTTGTTGTACCAAACAAATACAAACTTTCCAGAACAAAGTCTTTCATAATATGGCGAGTACTGCTTGATATGTGCGAAATAATGATATTTATTATTTCTCAAAGTAAATGAGAAAATAAGGAACTGCGCAATAAAACATAGGGCGCCGCGCAACGTTTAGAACGACATATAAATATTAAGACTTGTTGACCTATAGAGGAGAATGTTAGGAGAGAAGCACTTTCGTACTATAAAAATGCAACAAGAACGAGAGTGTAGAGAAGATATTCTATCTCTCTTTATATTAAACAACCACATAAAAAGATATTACAAAAAGGCCACTAAATGCAGAAAAGACTATAACTCTACTTCTTGAACTCTCAGTGAAGTTCACCTGCGACGTGTGGTACACATATTTTAAGATAAACAGAATAACAGAAAATGTTTGAAGAGCTTGGCAACGACTTCGTTGTAAGCGGAGGTTTCAATGAAAAGCATATCTTCTGGGAGTCCAGACTGACTGCGCCTAAGGGAAGAGCACTCTTCGAGGTGGACAATGAAATAAAATGTACATTTTCTCTTCTTGAAGCCCAAAATGTTGGCCCTTCAACCCCAAAAGACTGCCTGACATCGTAGATATCTTCATAGCTAAAGGAGTGTCATAAAATTACATAAGCATAAAAGGCAAATATAATCTAAACTCTGATCATTTATCAGTAACATTAACTATAAGTGAAACGATTATTTTCGTTGACGATCCGCCGAGCCTAACAAACAAATCAATTAACTGGACAGAGTTCAAAAATAAGCTAAACGATTCAATAAACCTTCGGGTTCTTTTGCAAAATGATTTAGAACTAAAAGAAGAGCTTGACTTATTTATCACTAAAAATCAAAACACTGCTTGGAATAACACTATATTTAAAAATATATCAACTATCAGCAAGATAAACTATACCAAGAACTATAAGACCAAGAAACTAATTAAAGAAAAAACAAAAGCTCGCAAAACTTGGCAAATGTCTAGATCATGTATCAGAAATAAATCCATCTCAAATCATCTCCAAAATTTGTCATTTGTCATTTGTCCGAAAAAGATACTGATTACTCTTTATGGAAAGTTATTGGGGGTGCCAAAAGACCTCAAACACCTACCAAAAAAGAATATTTAGAAAATATATTCAAACCCTTTCCGAGACAAATCAACTTGGAAACTATTCAGCATTGTGCCCAAGCCATTGCAAACCCCAAGAATAACCCTTCGTGAAATAAAAATGCGACCGGCTCCAACCTGATCACGAATGAAGACCTTAACAACTCTCCTAAAATGCTCTGCAGATGCTCCTTCTTTATATAATACGGCAGAAATTGTGGTAGTGGTAAAGCCAGGCAATAAATGGCATGAATCCTTATCGACGGATTTCTCTCTTGCCAATTCTATCTAAGATTTTTGAAAGGTTTATACTAAACCCAATGAATCCAATAATTGCAGAAAGAAGTCTTATTTCAATTCATCAAATTGGCTTTCGACGCAAACATTCCATCAATCAGGTGCATGGAATTATTGACGTAATAAAGAGATCGGTCGAGAAAAAACTTATAAATGCAGGTGTGTTTCTAGATGTCGCAAAAGCCTCTGACAAGATGTGGCACGACGGGCTACTGTTTAAAAAGAAAAGGGACTTGTCAGAGTCATTTTGTAAGTTACTTACTTCTTATCTCACTGACAGATGCTTCAAAGTTAAAGAAAATGGTGAATACTTAAAACTAAAATAAATAAATGCAGGTGTGCCACAAGGAAGTGTCTTAAGAACTATACTGTATCTACTGTACACCAGGGAAATTCCTTTAAGAAGCGAGGTATTACAGCAACTTTCGCAGACGATACCGCGGTTATGGAAACAGGTAACTCTGCTAAAAATATGCCTTCAGACTCCAGGAATCTTGATGAAATCCGCTTGTGGACAAAAAAGTGGAGAATACAATTAAATGAAACGAAATTTATTCATGTCTACTTTACAAACTGTAGATTTAACCCGGAGCTTGTTCAAATTAATAGTATTCAAGGGTCAACAGAAAACAACGCAAAATAACTTAGTATGAACTTAGATACAAGGCTTAGATGGAAAATTCAAGTAAAAATTAAAAGGGATCAAATTAATCATAAATTTAGAAAACTGAATTGGTTTATCGGCAAAAACTCAGATTGAAATAAGCATTCAAATTCGAATAATAATAATTTTCATAACAAAATTTTAATATATGTATAACCAAGTTACAAAGCCCATTTTTTATATAATGTATAGCAAGTTCAGCTATGGGGATGTGCCTCCAAATGCAACGTAGGCATTATTCAGTGATACCAAAATAAGGTACTTAGAGCTACTTATATTAGATACTTATAACCCAAGACTTGGAAATCCCCTCAGTTGCAGAAGAGGCTAGAAGATTTGCTCGCAAACACAATACTGGTTACCATTACCCGAAAACATAAACATGAAAATAATCTTTTACGACATTGGATCTGCTAGGAGACTTAAAAGAAAAAGCCATACGAATTACTGATTTGGCAGAGCAGGAACAGATTAGCGTCTACTAACGGGTAAACATTACAGGATGCATGCCCACAGCCCTAAGAGTTAAACAAGCGAAAAATAAATTGCTAGATAGGTCACTCTGACTTCGTTGCAGTATTAATTAGAAAATAAAAAAAAAATAATACAAATATTTTTTGGTGATGAAGAAATCGTTGAAAATGTCAGTTAAAATGTGAAAATGCCAAAAATATCATGTAATAGTGTCAAAAATGAGCTTTTTGATTTTTGCTTTCTATCTATTTTCATTTAACCAAAACCTCTTTCACGCTCTTTATTTTAAAATAAACAAAAGAATAAAAATAAAAATGATAAGTGAAAATTATTAAAATTATAAGTTTGAAATATTAGGTAAATTAATTTTTAAAATATTTGATGATAGAAATATTAATCTTAAACACGTATTGCGTATCTTGACTAAGAGACTACAGGAAACAAATTGAATATTATTTTTTATTTACTTTTAGCTTCTCAAATTTGAGAAACCCAGAATTCGGTCTTAAAGATTATTAAATTTCACTATAAACTTCTATAGCGAAAATTAATATAGTTTAAGTATTCGAAATATACAATCTAAAGATGCCTTTAAAGAAATGTGGCCGTGTTAAAAAAGCGCACTCGAAAACTTCTGCAATAAAAAAAACAGAAGGTATAGTAATGTGCATTAATTTTTATATCTAAATAGTCATCCTTACTAACACAGTTTAATATTAATATCATTCCCATTACTAAAAGAAAAACATATTTCAAAATTACTTAGTAAAGGTAGCTTCAGGAGTTTGTTTTATAATTAGATGAACAATTCGTTCGTAGTAAGTTGCTGTACAAAAATACAAATAACTCACACAGGAATCAATATTAATTAATTGTTTTAATTATAAACCATATACATATACCAAACTATCTTACTCTATTTGCCAGTGTTGTGCATGACTATTTCAAATAACCATTACAATATAAGGACTAAAATCAAGTATATATGTAAAACAATAGTTAAAGACCAATATTTTCTGAATTATGAAAATTTAATTATGACAATTAATTTTATATAATTGTTACATACATACATACATATGAAAAGTAAATATTGTTTACATACATACATATGTATATGTAGGTAATATTTGTTTTTGAACAATATCAAATTGCCCGTTTTTGAGAATGAGATGAAAAATTTTGAGAAGAGCAGGTTAAAATCTACAATAGTGCAAGTGTTCGAATAAAAATAATTAAATAAATATATATAAGTAAATAAGTAAATAAATATATACACCTGAGCTGATCAGTTCGAGCTCACTAGTACGCACATATATTGTTAAGGCAAAAATTGTTTGTTTTTCCAGTTTTGCGGATTTTTAGAGTAATAATGGAAAATAAATCTGGTCAAATAAATCCTAATACAAACACGCAAGTTCTGTCAATGGACGCGGCGGGGAATATTGTTGAAAGTACATCTGGAGCCGATATCACTGCGGCGGATAATTTCAATGATTTTTTTAATACTGGCCGTATTGGTAGACGAAATGCTTTACCGGACATTTTAAGTATAGCATGTGCGACGACATCGACAGCGGATTTACCAGAGAAATTTAATGCTCTTACAACAACCGATGTAATGTCATCTAATATACAACCATCTGATAGCGGTGCAATAGTACCATCTTCATCAACTTCTTTGTCAACGACATCAAATATTACATGTTCTAGTTCTAGTAGCAATTACAACGATAGTAACATAAATCCCACTTAAGTAGAACTTCTTTTATACATGTGTCGTATACACATTGTAACAAAATCTGTTAACTTTGCACAATAAGCTGGTAATTTGTTTATAATATTATAAAATATGTTTATATTTAATGCATCTTATCATTTCAAAAAAATATTACATAACGATAATTTAGACAATTTATTTCGAAATAAAACGACAATGTGGATACAAAAAAAAACAATCTTTCTATTATGAAAGATATTAACTTATTTATTTATGTGTTTGGAACATATTTATATTTTAGTTATTGAATAAGTATTTTAAATATACAAAGAAAAAAGTATTGAATTTGAATATTTTAAAATGTCAAATTAGTAGTTCTTAAGGTAAAAGGATGTTTTTATTTGTGAAATATTGAACCAAAGAAAACAAAAATTTATAAAAACCTAAACCTTATATAAAAATATATATTTATAAAACTAAAATTGAATTATTTTTTGGTAACTTAATAAATAAATTTATCGAATCGTAAAATAAGTCAATAAAAACTGTAATATGCATAATTATGAAAACTATTCACAGATAAGTTGGTTAATCAAAAAAAAAAAGCAAACAATTTTTTTTGACGTTTTAAAGCTTTAATTTAAATAAGTGTTAAAAAACTGGAATTATGGATAAAAATGTAGAGTAATAAAATTAAAAAACTTTACTTAGTATATTCTGTTTATTTGACTATAAAACAAAAGTATGAAATTATCAATGCTTGTGGTATTTGACTTCTTTTTCCTGATGCTTAAGTTTTGTCGATAAATATGTGTTCCATAATATTGCAATGAATTGCACAAATAACACTTGATAATTCAATGGTATAAAAGCAAAATTAACTAACTGTGCTGCCGGCCATACTTTGTAATTTGTTAATACTATATCTATATATTCATTTTCAAACCTCTTTCTGATCTCATTATTATTTAAACCTTGTATTATACTGATGGTTATAGTAAATAAACCAATAAACATTGGAGCAAAAATTAATTGATCAACACAAACTTTTTTTATTGCCAGTTTCCAATACACAACTTCTTTTAAGAAAACTCGATCCAATATGCCATACCAAGCTCGAAGGCATGGTCCAACGCCGAAAAGTCCTACTGCACAAAATTGCAATGTTCTAGTTTTATTGATTTCACTTATCTGAGTCTTCTCAACATAACGTTGAGCTATAATATCACCGGTCCCCATAAGCAAAGACACCTAAAATAAATCATTTTATAGAGTTAAATTTATTCTCAGATTGACAATGGTTTTTTTTTATTTAAAAAACAAAAAGTATGTACAATGTATTTTTTTTTCATTAGTGGATAGATTCTACTGTTTAAAATTTAAATCAGTTATGCCCAAAAAATCGTTGTCCGAACTAATAAGAAAATTAAATCCACATTCAGAAGAAATATCTAAATTTTCAAATTTTTTCCATTTTAGTTTTTCTTCGTCGATCTTTTTCAATTCCTCTGTTATTTCTTCGTCGGTTTTGCATTTGTGGTCAATTTTTGTCTGTTTTGCAACCCATCTTCTCTGCATATTTAAGGATTGCCTGACTTCGTCATATAACATTTTAGATTCAACCAAAATATTATTCAGTTTTACATCTTCAATGATTTCATAATTAAAATTTTCTACATTATAACAAATGTGCACACTAGGAAATTCGGTAATTATTTTTTTATTTAAACTCTTTTTTAAAGTACACGTGGCATCCAGTTCATAGAATTTATTTTTACATGATCTGACTCCTTCAGATTTTAATAAAACTCTTAAATTTGCTAGTCCTTTTGATTGATAAAATATTAATTTTTTTTTTACATGTTCTGATAATGCTTCACAGTTAGGGTTTAAATATTTATTTAAAAGAACTGAGATTGTATCATTTTCGCAGCAATATTTGTCGACAAGCTTTAAGCCATTGGCATTGCTAAAAATCCATTCTATCCTCCAAAATATCGTTTTTGTTTTTCGATTATAGTATGATGTATTTTCTCTCCTTTTTAAAAGGACTTGTGGTAAAATTTTTAAAATTGTTTCACGATCTGATGCAGCTTTTTTCAATTGGAACATTTTTGAAATTGCAAATCGTTTGGCCTCGTGAACACTTATTTGTTTTGAACACCTTTGTATATCTTTTGAAAACCGCGTACATTCTTCCAAAAAGTAATAATCTTTCATAAAATCTTCCTCAGTCATGTTTTTTAGAGGAATGTATTTCGTCCGATCTCTAATTCCATTACATTTTAATTCTTCTTTATGAATCTTAACACATTCCAAACAACATGTTTTAACCTCACATTTTGGACAAGTATATTTGGCCACTCCACTACAAACTTCGCATTTTCCTAATCGATTCAAATTTTTCTTTTCAAAAACAGATGAATCTTGCTCCGCCATTAAGTGTTTACTCATAGCAATTTAGTGTAAAATTATATGTTTATTCTGCTTTTATTAAAAAAAAGAAAACGTTCTCTTTAGCCTTGACTGACAACAAATAAAGTTTTATTTGGCTTGTAAATACTTAGATTTAGATGACATTTCGATTCTGACATTAAAGAATGCAAATCTGTATTACAAAAATTTTGTTTATATATGTTTTAATTACACAAAACGTAAACTGTATGATACCGTATAAGCTATAGCTTAAATTTGTGTTTCTTACAAATAACATGAAAGTTAAATTTTACAGTTATAAATCTTAAATGATTTCAACTAAATACACAAAAAAGAATCTTACTTGCAAGGCTTGAGTAATATAGGGATGCCTTTCAACCAATCCTGTGTAAAGCCTTGCTATGTTTCTAAATATTCCCATTTTTAACTTACAAATAATGTCAATATTTAATTTCCTTTTGACGAGTAATACACTGATTCTTGGTGGATTCTGTCCTTATTTTTTATTTTAACTTTTATTTCGCATTTCTGAATATATTATATTCTCATGTGTTTAAATATAACACTTATCTTTGTATTACGACATGACAAAAATAGAGTCCTGGAAACTAGGAGAGGATGACAGTTTGTCGAAATCGATAGTGTTAGCACGTGTTAGCACAACTGCATAACAGCATTCTAATCAAAGTATATTTCCGTTCTTCGAAAAATATAATTAAAAATCTAAAAATAAAATGGTTAGTAAATATTCGCCTACTAATTTTATAAGTAGGTCTCCTTGTTTCAAGCCGTTAGTTTTCGTTTGCTTCCCAGTTCCACTATCCTCAAAATATTTCATTTTTATAAAGAAATAGATGGTATTTTTAAATTCTAATTTTTATTCAAAAATTTTACTCTGTAATTCAGTATCCTTCCATTTGGAAGGTTGTCTGAGCTAAAAATTGTATTTTTTTTTAATGCATTTTTCAGATGGAAATCCAATTACCAACCGATTTTTTTGAAATTTAAATTTTAAATTTAAAGAAATATGTAGAATCAGTAGAGCCAAAAATATTAATCAATTTCTTTCATACAAATAAATTTCGATACACCTTCCATTTAAACTCCAATGTCTGATGGATATACATATATGGCATTTAAGTGTATCTATCCTCGTCATTTTGTTTTTTATCTCGATTAAAAAATTTTATAAGAATTGAACAAGACTACTTTTCCCATACGATTTTGCTTCATTTGATTGGATGTTTACACATCGAATTTTCATCAAATTTCCATCCAATTAAGCAAAATCGTCAAACTATGCTTGATGTGTAAACGGTGTCTTATTTTACTTAAACAATGAAATGTTTAATTAAAATAAGACATTATTTTTTTACGAAAAATTGGTAGATAGGAAGTTTTGTTAGAGAAAAAACGTGAGAAAGGTCTACTATCAGTTTATTAAAATACATAGTAGGTCTACTTTTATACCTTTTGCATTTAAGCTTATCCCAACACCCCTAATGACACCCCTAAATGAGAATGGAAACCTATTTTTAATTTTAGCAAAAAAATACATTGTACTGATAGTCTTACTATGTATTTGATTCTAGGTTTTGGTAAATTTTTTGTTATTGAAAACTTGAAATGATAGGCAAAAAAATTTTCAAAAAAACAAAAATGGTGCTTTAGAAATGTTAGAAATTTCCCCAAAAAAAAAAATAATTTAATATGTAATTTTAAAAAAGGTTTTGGGTCTTGATATTTTTCTTATGGCAAGTATCGAACTAAACCTCTGAATTAATAAAAAAACGGAAACGCCTTTTAAGAGCCAATTATCTGCAAATTTTAGCATTATTAGCTCTTCCTGTCAGCCTTTTATTTTGCGTTTTATTATGACATTTTACAAGTATTTGAATTTTATCACACCTTACTAAATTTCAACACAGAAAATGTGCTAAATGTCAATAGATGTCTACCATTTTTTTTCATCGCTGTCACTCTATGTCATATAATTGTTTATTGGAATACTTATTTACATACATCTTGCAAAATTTTAATTTTTTCACACATTAATAAAATAATTCTTAAATTAAAAACACAAAAATAATCTAGGTTTGATATCTTTATTGCGGTTTAATTTCTAACCAGAACTATCATGCAACCAAACGACATTTTCGCTCCAGATTCTGCTTACAGTCCGGATCCGGAGAAAATAAATGGGTAAAGTTTAAAGAAAAATATTTTTTAAAACGTATTAGTATTTTGAAATTTTTCTGTAATAATAAGTAATTAAATATTGTAGCGAGGCTAATGAAGGAAATAATGAGTCGATAAATATTGAATACCCATTAGAATCAATGAGTTTTGAATATATGATATGGACAAATAATGAAGAATCTGAAGAAAGCAATTTAAACAGCATAATGGATTCGTCGACGTCAATTTCAACAAGACCAAATAATGTAGTTAGAAAAGATAATAGAAAAGCTAACCGAAATCGCAATATAGATTTCAGTTCATTTGACAAAGATGGTTCCACCAAAGATCTGAATCCTCATAATGCAGACATATTAATCAAATATATGACAATATTACTCAAAGATGCAGAGCAAAAACAACGTGCAATCAAACGCTTGCAAGCAGAATTTGACAAAAAATCCAAAGAAGTTGCGAACTTAAAGGATATATATGAGAAATTAAAGAGAAAGAGATAATTTCGCAGTTTCCTTTGTACATCACTGCTTGATTGAAAAATGCGTTATGTTAAGTTTTGTTAAATGAATCAATCATCTTTATTTTTTTTAAATTATAAAAAATATTGGAAAAAATGCAATTGGATATAAATTTTTGAATATTCATATTGTTAAAAATTTATAAATTTTTAAAAAGTTTGTAACACAAAACAGATCTAGAATTCAAAATTTTAATATCAGGTTAATATAAGAAAACACTTGTGAAAATTGCTATGTTAAATTACATGAAAGTAAAATGAAGTAATTAATATTGTTTTAATAGATTTTTTACTTCAAATAGGATAAATGTCGAATAACATCTATGTTAAGATAAAATTCAACAGAATTCTATAACTTGTATTGATTAAAACGAGTTTTTTTGCAAATGAAAATTTAATTTTTGTACACCGCTAAAAAGAAAAAGTTTATGGGTCATTATTTGAGCGCAAATACAACTTTACATACTCATTTAATTTTTATTTATATTCAAACAAAAATTTAAAAATCAATTTTTCTACACTAAAATAAATTAAGTAACTAAAAAGTGGATTACAGTTAATGTTTATAAAATTAAAATCTTACATGCTTTATTTCAAAATTCAAAACTGCTTTTGTAGTTTTATTATGGTTAAAGAAAAAAAGTCTATTATTTAACGCAATATACAATGTCAGTTTTGAGTTTAAAATTTAATTTATTATTTTAAAATTAGATTCTTGATAATTGTTGCAACAAATTGCAGGGCCATATTGCTTCTATTCGTTCTTTTATAAGCTGAAATGGTAATGAGATCCAGTTAAGTACAGTTTGTGCAATTATACCCATAGGTTCTGGATAATAGCTTGTAAGCAGAGCTAATAATGCAGTAAAGCTACACAAGCCTGCCGTGAACAAAATGAAAAATGGTAATTCCTTTTTCGGGTAAACGGACACTTCATGAAACGATGGTAATAATTCACGATCTGCGCATTCTGTACATGTTGGATATGGGTAAAACAAATGTCCACGTTCCAGCGGATATGGTAGCATTCGGAATGTCCCTTCCCAAGTGCAATGCAGTAAATTTAACGCACCTTCTACATTTTTCCAATGCGATAAGTGAAAGAATGCATACGCTAATGCTTCAGAATCGCCTCGTTTTAAATAATGTTCTGGAGGTAATATCAAAGGTTTCATTTCTAATAAATATTTTGGTACATGGGGATTAAATTCTACGGCTCTATGAATTGCTTCTACTGCCATCAATTCAGCAGGACTTAAACCTCTTTTAAATGCAATATCTTGTGAAAATTTATCTGCTACTACTCTGGCTTTTAATAATGCTGCTGTATAACAGATAGTTGCAGATTTTGGTAACGATATGTCGTCATATTTGGCAAGAACAGCTTGACAATCAGCGTATGCTTGCATTTCTAGTAAGCATTCTATTAAATTCTCATGAATATTTAAAACATTCATAATTGATGGCAAAATTTCTTTTGTTAAATCTCGAAACATTTTTGCCGCTTCTTTTAGTTTACCTAATTTGCGAGCACACATTGCTAGGCGCCATTTAATATAAATTAAAACATTTGTATCCCTTCTATAACGACCTTCCGCTAGAGAACCCTGATGTTGAACGCTTTGTGACTTCCTATAATTTTGTTCTGCAACTTTAAGCGCAATTTTCAGTATTTTTTCAACTTCTATAATTGTAGTTGCCTCTTCTTCTGCTAATAAAATGTATGCTGGAGCACAATCAACATTGATTTTTAGCGCACTGTGTGCAGATTTTATTCTTACTAGTGGATTTCTTTCTCTCCATGCTGTTTGCATAATTTCATACTCGGCTCTTCCAGCATCACCTTCACACGTAAAAAACGTTTGATGATCTTGTGCACTTAAATTCATATCATAATATGTTGCAGGTTCTTTATTTGTTGCCCAATAAAATCTTTGATATTCCGCACCACGAAATAAGTTTAAAGGATTTCTCCAAACCTTACATTCAATTTGTTGATGTGCTGAACCATTTCCATTGTTACTATTACTTGAATCATTGTCACTGCCGTTTATCCATGGACTTATATGATTAATTGATATTTGTTCAATAAAAGACGTTCCATATTTGCGAAAATACCACCATTCAAATATAAGAATTAATCCAGAAATTAAACTTGATGTGCCGGTTAATGCTACATAAAATTTAGGTGTTAATGTACTCAAAAACATAGAAGAGTCCCACATGTTTCTGAATCGTGAAGTAAGTTTATTCCCACATTGAACAACTAATTAAAAATAAATTTCTGTACTTTTTTATTGCAAACAAATTTCCAGTTTTTTTCGTTTTATTATTTCTTACAGAACTGTCAAATTGTTTTTTTATCTTCTGAAACTAAAATTTGACAGTTAAGCAAAATCGCAAAACTCGAAATTTAAAAGTTACAAAGTATAGAAATTAAAGTACTGTTTGAAATTCAATTTCGAAACGAAACCCGAAATAGTCGTTTTTAGGTGTATAATTGACATAAAATTATATGACTGCCATGGGTATATTTATTCAAAAACGGCATTACATGGTATAAAATTCTCCTATGAAAAATTATTCCCTCGATGTTCTAATAATTTCAAAATTTGAAATTAATAAATGTGAGAATTTTTTCTACATATATTAATTTTGGAAAGGAGCTTATGTAAAAAAATTATGAATAAAAAGAAAAGTCAATAAATATTAAGTCTGTCTGAGGTAAAGCTTAAAAAAACTTAAAAAAGAGAATCAATGATGAAATTTCTCGCAAAAAGAAAAGAAATTCGCATTTAAAAAAAATAGACCAGACAAAAAACTTGGAAAAATTTTATATATGTACATATATACGATAAACGTCAAATTTCAAAGTATTTATCAAAAAGCAAATATTTTTTTGTTATACTTTCGCAACCGAAAATTTTGATTTTGGTTTATAAAATTGTAAAACTTAAAAAAACCATTTGTGAACGAACCCATTTCGGTTATTTTATTTTATTTTTAATCGGAAAATTTTGAATAAAAGTTATTGTTGATGAAAAATTCGTTTTTCAAAAATAAAACCTTTTTACATAACCAAGAAAAATATATGTTTCGATAGCTGTAAGGCTTTACAAAATTTAAAACACTAATTTTTTTACAAAATATGAAAAACTTTAAACATTAACAAAATTAGAATGTCATCATTTTCTCTAAAAAGTATTATCCCAGACACTTCACATGCATAAGCTTTGTAAAGTTTTTAAAAAAAAATTATCTGTTGTACATAATCATAATATAACTTTTTATGTCATTTTTGAACCAATAATTTTTTACATGATATATTTTTCTCCTTTAATAAGTTATTGAGTAAATTGAAAGAGGTCACATCACATTATATAACATCCTCAATTTTATGCTCTCACGTTCCTATCTTCAACGCTTTTTATAAAAATGCATTACAATTTATAATGCCTTACTTGGAACGAACTACCTAATATTTTTACAAGAATATTTAAATCATAAATCAACTATCCAGACCAGTGGCTTTCAACATCTTCTTATAGGTGAAAAGACACGGTTCAAAAAATTTTGCAACAATCTTTTGGCTTTCGTATTTTTGAAACCCATCTCAGTGTTTTAGTTTATATTTAAAAATGATATGCAAATGCGCATTAGATTTTATGTTTAGTGCCAATTATTAACAGGCTTAGTTTTCTTTTTAATCTAAGGCACTGTTAGCATTATACGGCAAAATTTAAGATTAAATCTACGATAAAATGTGATGACTGTTTATCAGACTGAAATTATCCCAGATTTTACGTCAAATTTTGTTCGGAAAAAATTAGTGGTTGCCATTTTATTTTTAAAAAATCTAATAATAAATCTGTTGAGAATAGAGTAAAATTAAATTTGCGATAAAGTCTGATGATTATTTACATATCACACTTTATGTTGAAATTTACGTCGAAAAATAAAAACAAAGGTATTCTCTATGGATCTAAGACTATGTCAGTTGTTTTTATTGTGTAGTTTTGAAAGTTTGCAATTCGATTGAGTCAAAGTTTTTAAAATCTGTTATTATATTTAGCTCATTAAAAAGCATTTAGTTGAAAAAATTTTAGTTAGTTTTAAAACGGTAATAGTCAAAAATGCAAATATAAGTTTCCGTGGTGTAGTGGTTATCACATCCGCCTAACACGCGGAAGGTCCCCGGTTCGATCCCGGGCGGAAACAATCTTTTTTTTATAATAAATTAATTATCGAACATGTTACAAATAAATTCTTTATTATCATTTCTTTTTTGGGTCAAAACAATTTTGTGCAATACTTTCATGTACATAAATTTGTAAATTTTTAAACCTTCGTTATATTATAATCAAAATGTTATCACCATAATTTGTATCAAAAAATGTCTTTTGTGCTTTTAAAATAAAAAACAAACCAAATATGCTTTAATGATTGCTTTCAATTCTGTCGCAGTAAGCTGCCCACAATCTATCTCTATAAAGGATACAAGCTTTATCAATACACTTCGCTTCATAGATCCCGCGGCCAACAACCCCTATGTCAGCACCTTTAATTTTCACAACATCCTCCGGTGATTGATATTGCTGCCCTAAATCGTCGTGGGAGTTTTCTATTCTAACGCCAGGTGTTAACTGAATCAATCCTGGGAAACTAAAACAATCAGATGTTTGACAAACGATACCAGCAACAAAATCCGAATCATTTGAATCTGTAGCCAATTTTATAGTTGCTTCTTTGTACTTTTCATTAATTAAATTTCCTTGACTTGACATTTCCGCTAATAGAAATACTCCTCGTTTTTCTGGTTGATCCAAGTTGGTTTTTAAGCCTTGAAGAATACTTTGGCCTGGTAAAGCATGAACTGTAACAATGTCAGCCCATTTTGATATTTTGTACAACCCTTGAGTATATTGCAAATAAACTGTGTTACCAATATCCGCAAATTTACGATCTTCCATAATTAAAAAATTATGCTTTTTACTTAACATTTGCAGTGACTGTATAAAATTTTCAGAAAAATCTTCTATTATATCACAGTGGGTTTTCAAAATGCATATATAGGGTCCACAAATGTCAGCTATATTTAAGATATGATCAGCTTTAGATAGATCAGCGGCAACACAAAGATTAGATTGCTTAATTATCATAATGTTGAAAAGTTTCTTAGCTAATGGAGCTTGTGCTAATTCTGAGCGTGCCTCAAACGACATGGTAGTGCGTGAAAGCTCGTTAACTAAAAGAAAAGAAAATTAAAAATAAAAAAAACAAATATTGAATGATGTATGTGAAATTAAAACCAAAAACTTATTTAGCAAGCTAATTTAAAGCAATTTAAATTATTATGTACATATTAAATTAAAAAATTATGTATGTAGCTTTATTTTATATATGGTATGTAGCTACGTATGTGTTATATATGTATTATACCCCTACGTACGAGTTATATATGTATTTATTCTTAACGATTTATGTACAAGTCTTATAAACTAGTTATAAAAATAAGTTAACTTAACATATTTCAAGCAACCAGTTTGTAACACCTGTTGTTATGAAACTTACCAAAATTTCTTGATGGATCTACAAGTGTTCCATCATCATGTATTTGGCAACTATTAATAAATTTTTTAACAGATTCCACAATCTTTTCGTCAATTTTTTCAGCTTCTTGCAGCAGTTTTAACAAGTGAGATAACGTAAAAATAGGTATTAAATTCATACCATTTTTCTTTGAATTTAATATTGCACCTTGTTCTCTCTCTACCATAACAATAGCATCACTAACAACTAATCCTTCAGCCCTTAAATCTCGAGTAGTTTCCAAAATGCTTGATCCAGACGATGTAACATCCTCAATCACCAAGCATTTTTCTCCAGCATTAAATTTCCCTTCAATAATTTTTTTTGTTCCGTAAGATTTAGGTTCTTTACGTCGCACTAACATTGGTTGCTTGTTTTTCATGGCAACTAATGTTGCAACTGGAAGGGCCATGTAAGGTACACCACAAACATGTTTATATTGAATATTATGTTCTTTAATTATGTCATCAATTAAATTTACAACGGTAGTCTAAAAAAATTAATGCAAAACATATATCGCTGCGACAAATTCATTTATATTGGTGCGACAATAAATCAAAATTAGTTACCATTACATCAGGAAAACTAACTATTACTCTTAAATCCAAATATACTGGGGAGTTTACCCCAACTTTCATTTTGAAATCTCCAAATTTTATGGCTCCAATTTCAAACAGTTTCACTGCAAGGCCTCGAAAATTATCTTCACGTTCAGAAAGCATGGTTTTTAATTTGATACTAAAAAATTGTCAAAAACTTAACAAAATCTTAAATATAACTATCCTTTCCTATGTATTTCTCTTCGATTTATATTAAACTTTAATCAGTTTATTTCAGTTAGACCATTAAAACTTGCACGTACCAGCAAAATTTGAAATTGTCAATCGCTCGCAATTTAATAGTTAATATTTAATTTAATATAACAGTCAAAATCGTTGTTAACTGCAGTGAAAAAAAAAGCGGTAGCATGGTTCAGTGTTAGAATGGCTAAAAGTCAGCAAGGTCTAAATTTCAGTCAAAATTCAATTATTTTTAATAACATACAAAATTTTTAAAATGCCTTTCAGCCAATTGTTTATAATGGAAACACTGTTTCAACTGTTAACTGAAAAAAAACTAATCATTAACTTAACAACCTGAAAAATTCTTAAAAGGACAATTTTTCCTATCTCACAAGCTCGTCAAATGCTATTCTCTATTTGCAACCCAAATGTCAACAAAATTTGTTATTTATTAAAGTGTTATAATACTGAGTTTACTATATTTGAGCTTGATATGACATCGTACAGCTATTGAAAAAAGGAGCTAAAAATTTTGTGAAAGTACTCTAAGTTAAAAAAAGGACGAAAAAGACAATAGCACTAAAAATTCCAAATATGACATAGGCCTGACCTTCTCAAAGCTATATCAAAGTTGGAATTTCTTAACTGCTCTCTCTTAAAACAATAAAAAGACTTAAAACTTCAAACCAGTGCTGTTATTTTCAATTAGCTTTTAAGTAGCATTTTACCTCGCAAAACTCGAATTTGCCGCAGATATATTGCGTAATAAACTGGGAATTAACACCAAACAAAAAAAAAAAACGATTTTTGTATGTTTTTATTGCAGTAGAGGTTTGAGTTAATATAACATAAAAAATAAACATAATAAAAAATAATACTTCACATAAATGTTAAATTAAATGTTATATTCTATACAAATTTTCATGTGTCTGTTAATTTTTCTTATGGAAAACTCGAATCAGAATTACGAAAAATAAGCATAATTTTCGAAAAAAAATTCCGTAACAGCCGTTCTCAATTATCAACAAATTGGCACATGCTCTTCGAAATCAGTTATTTGTTTTAAAGGGATTTCAAATCAAATTTCGTTTATGCATTTTTTATTGTAAATAAGAACAACAGTTTTGAAACAAAGTTTTAGAATTAAATAAGAGAAGAAAAAATATAGATTATGTAATAGGAATATATGTAAAGAATGACGTCATAAATCGAGATTTAAAAATTGACACTGTACGTAAAGAGGTTATGCTTCAAAACTATAAGACCATGGCGACACAACATCCAAATAACGAAATCCAAAAATTACTCTTCCCAGCAACTCAATTGTTTAAAATGTTGGGGGTTTGAACCGATGGGTTCAGCTCCCCATGTCCTTGCGTATTTAGAAAACAAAATTACTAGATAGGTCTATTGACTAAGTTGTAATATATCATAATTAAAAACAAAAAAAAGAAATTTACAATTTTAAGGAATTGTATATTAAACAAATTTCGATAACTTCAACAAGTGAAAATACTGCTTATAAAAAATCTACATTATTGAAATTATTTTCATTTATATACCAATAATTTTAAATATTGCATATTCTATAAAAAAAATTTAAATAGGCATTAAAAAACATGAACTTAGGGATTAATTTTGTGGTTTAGAAAAATAATTATGTCTTTTGATGGCACGACATTTTCCGTTAGCTTAAATTTGGAAAAGCTCACGGTTTCGGAAGTATAAGGTGCCGAAAATTTAGTTTTACAAAATGGTAATGACTTGAGAGAGAGTGCAGGTGGAGAAAAAAGTTTTCCTTGCAAAATAAACTATTTATTGCTAAATACATTTTAAAAAAACGGCCATTTTGTGAGCGGACGGAATGTTAGAGAGACACTGTTAAGCCTTTTTTTTAATTTTTTGTTGGAAAAGTGCCAAAAAGTAGTAGAAATGACTTCATCTGACCCGAAAGGTATTTCAAATCGTGGGTCTTGGCTCAAAAAATACATAATATTGTACTACTTGTACAATATTTTTACTAGTAGATTTTTCTTTTTCAGATTTGAAAAAAAATTGTAACAATAATTTGATACCCTAATTGCATGCCTGTGCATCTTTATTGTCATATGTTCACATTATATGCGTTGTCATTGTGTATGTATATTAGTTGCTAATTGCCATTCATGTTAAAAAAAAAAACGCAAAATAATGTAAAAATAATTTTGTATTTTTAATTTATTTAATAAATGAAAAACTGATAGAGGAAAAAATAGATATAAAAGACAATTAAGAAATAAGTGGGACTGAGATCATGTTTGCAATTCTGAGTAAAAACTATAGTCCTAGCCAACTTTTCACAGTACTGCATAAAGCAGTTTGTTTTGAGTTCGTAGATCTGCCACTGAGCTTGAATTAAAAAAATATATTGAAACCTTGCTGTTTTTTCATTTTAATTTTAATAATTTTATATATGAATAATATATAAAAAAATCGAAAATGATAAAAATCATAAAATGACTTTGTCGTAACTCCTTTTGATTTTGACATTTTTTGCAACAGATTCCGTGACTTCAATAATGCGCTTACGACGTAAATTTTACAAAATATCAAATTCCAAAAAGTTTAGTAAAAGCTCTTGACATTGTACACTTTTCCTAAATGCGTTTTATACGTAGTGGAGACATAAAATAAAAGTAAATCGGGCATCAAAAAAATCCTTGTCATATAAATGTTACCAGAAACAACCTATAAATATTTTCAGCAATAAAGTTCTAGTTATCAAGTTTTTTTCCTAAAATGCAGCATAAACATGCTAAGTTTTTAATGATGTGGTAACGTTTTATAAAAATGAATATTTGCACAGCACTTTAAATTGAAATTTTTAAATAAATGACAAAGTTGTATTGATATGGTAAAAATTGTACTCCAAAATGTACGAAAAGCTTTAGTAGTTTTTTTTTACAATGTAAAGGTATTGAAATCTCTGAGACGGTACTACAACCGTATTAATACCGTACTTAAATCTTTTTTAAAGCATTATTGAAGTCACGGATTTAGTTAGTTCTATTGCAATGTATGTAATTTCGATATACAAGATTTGAGTTGGCCATTCTTGAAAATGAATAATACTAAATATTTCCTTGAAAATGAGTAAAACTCTCTAATTAAAAAAGTAACTCTTTTTGAAAATTCATTAAATTTTTTACTACTATTATATGTACATACATATGTACTTAATTATAATTTTCAGTTTTTTGTCATTTTCATTGTAGTGTTTTTATACCCTGCACTTGGTGAAGGGTATATTAACTTTGGTATGGAGTTTGTAACTACTTGAAGGAGTCATCTGCGGTATGGACATATATATATGTATATTCTTGCTCAGCGTAAAATTCGCACGATAACTCAAAAACGAATAATGCAATCGACACCAAACTTTCACAAGTTGTTTCTTTTGTGCCAAGGACGAACCCTATTGTAATTGAACTAATTTGGGCGACGGGTTCGGATAGCTGCCATACAACTCAAAGAGTTTATTTTAAATATTTCAAAAACTAATAAAGGTATAAATATAAAATTTTGTATACATGTGTCCAATTATATTTTTAATTTTAATGGGATAGCTGCACTGGTTCGGGTGGCTGCCATACAACTCAAGAAGCAAATTTTTTATATTCGGCAAAATAATAAAGTCAGATTCATGAAACTTGACAGTCATGTGTTCAATTGTAGGTCAGATATATTTCTGAAGTTTTAGTGGAATTGCTTGATAGCTTCGAATAACTGTCATACAAGTCCAAAAACTTATTTTAAATATTTGAAAAAATAATGTCAGATTCATGAAACTTGGCAGTCGTGTGTCCAATTATAGGTCAGAGATATTTCTGAAGTTTTGGTTAAATCACTTGACAGGTTCGAGCAGCTCCTATGCAAGTCCAAAAGCTTATTTTAAATATTTGGAAAAATAATAAAGTCAGATTAACGAAACTTGGCAGTCATGTGTCCAATTATAGGTCAGAGATATTTCTGAAGTTTTAGTGGAATTGCAGGTTCGAGTAGCTCCCATACAAGTTCAAAAGCTTATTTTAAATATTTGGAAAAATAATAAAGTCAGATTCATGAAACTTGGCAGTTGTGTGTCCAGTTATTGGTCAGATATATTTCTGAAGTTATGGTTGAATTGCTTGACAGGTTCGAGTAGCTCCCATACAAGTCCAAAAGCTTATTTTGAATATTTGGAGAAATAATAAAGTCAGATTCATGAAACTTGGCAGTTGTGTGTCCAGTTATAAGTCAGACATATCCGTGAAGTTTCCATAGAATGGTTTCACAGGTTTGAGTAATTGCTATACAACAACGAAAGGTGCAGGGTATAATTCAATCGGTTTATACCGACTGAAACGTTTTTACTTGTTATTTTGTTGTCTCTTTAAACAAAACAATGATTATAGATGATATCGAGGAATATCGAATTTTTTAATACACTATAATAACTATGAGGGGAAATACCACGAAATTAAAATTTAAGTAAATTAAAAAAATGGGAACTTTTTTTATTGAAGTAGTAAAGATATGTTTCCTCCAAATTTCCTTTAATGTAATGAGAATAAAGATGCCTGTGGTTTCCTCACAATTTCCGCTTGTTCGAACAATATTTTTAACCAATCAAAATGTTTCATTTTACTAACACGCATTCAAAACTGAAATGGCTTGACAGCAGGTTTGCCAATTTTGGTTATTTCGCTCCAAAATTGGTTCCTTTTTTTTCCTTTGGGGACATGGCCTGGTATTTGTTCCTATTTTCGATACAGATAGAGGTACTATTAGCAAGAATTTCATTTAAAACGAGAAAATGTAGAGTAACCCGTGTCAAGTTTATGGAACTCGTACGAATGAATGATTTTAAGAATTGTATGATAATTGTCAAAAAGATTCATAAAATTTTTTGTTTTTTGTACAACACTTGTTTATACTTAGGGCAGTTGCTATATAAACTCAGATTATCTCAAAAACTTTTAACGAAAATAATGGTCGTATTACCATATTTGTTTATGCAAACTTTCAGCACTGTACATAGTTTTAATGGTTTCTACAAAATTTCACTTAATATCTT